TGGGGGGGGGTGGGGGAACAAAACCAAACCAAACCAAACCAAAACCAAAACCCCAACTCTTCCAAGTGCAGCTAGGTCAATGCTATCCAAAAGCAGAAGGAAACCCACAGCTCCAATGAAGCAGCCCTGGAAGGGGCAGAAGGACAAAGGTAGCCCGTACAAAACCACCACCCGAAAGGCCAGAGAGAGCCGCGAGGGCTCTGTCCCTTTAGGGTAACTGTGTATTAGCAACATCCACTGAGGAGCATCTCCTGACATTAGAAGGGAACTGCCCCAAAAAGAGAGGCCGTGGGTCCGAAGGAAGCGGTGCAAGCAGTCGCAGGGGGCTTAAGTGAAGGAACCCAAGTGAGCACAGCAAAGCTTGCGACCCCGGTGGCCGTGAGGCCTGGACACGCGGGGCGTCAGGCGAGTGGACAGACACGGCCTTGGCCAAGAGGCACCACCCACGCTCGGGCGCTTCTGCCTCCCCCCCAGGCTGGGAGAGGGAAGGGCCGAGCCTCGGTGCTTTGGGGCTCTGCAAGGGCTGAACTGGGCACCACAACGGAGGGGTTCTGCTCCCAGGGTGACCCAAATCACTGCCCGCCCAGAAGGGCTCAAGTAAGAGCAAGCCACGAGTACTCTGCTTGGAGAATTTCACTACAAGTACACAAAACCCAGCAGAGGAAGGCAGTGCAGCTGCAAAGGGGGAAGCAGCAGGCCTTGGCTCTTAGAGGAGCTGCTGCTCTCGCAGCAGGAAACGGGAGTTTCCATTAGAAAAAGCTTCCAAGACGAAAAGCCAGGCAGAAGCTCAGGGTTTGGCAGAGTTTGGCTCCTTCCAGCACGGCCCAGCTTCGGGTCAAAGCCACAAGCCAACTGCCTTTCTTTGCAGCAGTGAGTGGCACAGCAGAAGGGGCTTCTACTGCAGCATGTCCAGCCCTCGGCCACTGCCTGCACGGGGGCTTTCTCCGGGGATGGCCTGGCCAGCGGCGCAGAGCAGCAAGTGAGCAGGCACAGCTTGCATCCAAGAGCCTCTGAACTGCTGTACTGTAGATTACGGGCGCACACACAAGCAAACAATCAGCCAGCTGGCAGTCTGGCGGCACCAAGCAATCCTGCCAGGTGTCCGAGTGCCCAGCTCGCCCCGGGGACCCCTCACTGCATCGCATCTGCCTCTACCCGACGCTTTCGGGGCAGTCAGTTTTGGCTTGGCCAGTCTCTAGGACCTACTGAGAAGGTGGGATCCCTAGCAGCTAAGTGTACGAGTGAACTCCTGCTTCCTCCTCCTCCAGGACTGAAGGGGTCACTTGAGTTGCCCACAGGATTTAGCAGGAATGAAACTCCTCCAGCCTGGAACTGCAATCCCCAGCACAGTTACACACAAAGGAAGAGCCGGTCCGTGATTTAATTCACATTCGATGGTGGAAATGAGCCTGTGACACACACTGGAAGCAGTCGCTTTATTCCCAGTCTTCCCACTCTTCATCTTCCAGCTGCAAAGAAGAGGAACATCCCTCAGTTTGTTTCTGTAACTCAACAGCCATCCGTCAACAGATCCTCCTGCCCAGGGCACCTGAGTCAGCGCAAAGCCTGACATACCCTCACGCTCCCACACCCTCACAACAGGGATTTGCTTACTCTGTTCCCCTCGGGGAACTTGCACACTCATCCCTCTTTAAGCACGTCCAAGCAGCCACCCGCTGCTCCAGCTAACACCCGTGACTCCCATGGTGAGATCCCAAGCTAAGCCCGTGTCCTCAAAGAGCAAGTCACGCCTCTGAGAAGCCTCCCGCGAGCTGCTCTCGGCAGGCAGCTGCCTGCTGCGGCGCTGCCCTCCCAGGCCAGCAGCAGCCACGTCTCGCTGAAACTTGCTGCACAGCCTTGGCTCCAGCACAGGGGCTGGAAGCGGAGCTCAAGCCGAGGGATTCGCCCTCTTGCTCTGAGGCACTGCAGTCTCTCTCCATCTCCCAGGGGAAGCACCCAACGACGGCAGCGCTCACGCAGCATCACCCCAAGGAGTTGCTGATGGTTTCTGGGAGCAATCTTCTTGCCTACTTGAGCGAGCACCTCCCCGTGACTCACCTCCCCGGACACTTCCACCTTCGAGAGCGCCAGCTGCACCTCCTCTTCAGTCATGTCCAAATCAAAGTCCTTTTCCCAGTCCTCACTGGTATCAGTGCTGGAGCCTGTAACCACAAACATCACGACCGAGCCATCAGAGCTGCACGTGCTCTCCAGACGCTCTGGCCAAAGCACACAGCTGCCCAAGCAGCTGCCCACAAAGCCCTGGCATTCACAAGGCTCGGATCTACCACAGCCTGCCCGAGGAGAGAAAGCCTCCCTCATTCCCAAGAGCAGGCTGTCGGCTTGCTAACAGAGACGGGATGGACTGAACCGCCCGTCCCTCGCAGCAAGGGCTGGTTCAGAACAAGTGGGAGAGGTGAATGCCAAAACGTGTTCTCCTCTGGCCTGGGAGAACTGTGTCACACAGGAAACACAACAGATAAGGAATGACAGGAGCGACTTAGATACGGGGACTGTCACGCTCCCGAACAGAATGAACAACCTCCTGGGGCGGAGGAGCAGCAGGGACATTCCTAGGGGCAACATGCAGAGGGAAGGAACCACCATATTCCCCACAAGAGACCACAGCCATGCCCTGGCACCCAGCAGGCCAGGGACCAAAGGTCTACCCCGTTCAGCTGACAGACTTTTGATCTCTTGCCTAATTTCATTCTGCTCACAGACCCAGTTCATGATACTTGGCCACCCTGCTGGAGCTTTGGTTGCTTCCAGTGGCTTTATAATCCTATAACCAACATAACCATTACACTGGGAGACCTGCAGCAGACTCTGCTGAAGGCAGAATCCCCTGCAATGAAAGGTTTGTAAACAGTGTCAGCCAGAGCTGCGACACACCCCTCCTCAGGGTCCTGGAGGAGTGTCACCCTCCGTTCTCCTGAGGGAGCCCCAGGAACGGAGCTCAGGAGAGGGCTCAGGCCAGAGCCAGCTGCAGCCCCGGCCCAGCCGCCTGCTGAGAGCAGATGGTCACCGCCTGATGTGACCCTCTTGACCCTGCCCAATAGCAGAAAGATTTGCTTCCACTTTAGTTCGGCCACTAGACAGTCTTTGGATCTAACCTTCCTGGGTGATTTTGGCAAAACCCCTTTTCTCCTCCTCCATCATCACAAAATCAGGCCCTTTCCCCAAAAGCTGCCACCCCCAGCAGAAGGTTTCCGGGCCCTGTGCTGACCCCACACACGCACCTTTCTTGCCGTTGTTGGAGGGAGTGGATTTCCCACTATCCGAGTTCAGCTCAAAGACTCGTAGATCTGTTGGTCCTTCCTCTTTCAGAGTCTCTGTCCTGCCCTGGGCTTTGCTCTCCACCTCTTTGAGCTCCGTAACAGCCGGTTGCTCTGAGGATGCTGCTGACTCCCGGGCAGGTGCAGAAGGATGACCGGGTTCTGGGAGCTTTGACAAGGAGCTCTGCTTTTCCGAGGTGGCCTCCAGCAGCCTCTGAGAGAGGTCTCCGGTCCCAGCTGGTTGTGCTCCAGTCTGTAGCTGCGCAGCAGGCACAGAGGCAGGGTTTGCAATCTGAGTCACAAGGGAGATGCTCTCACTGCTCTCAGAGGGGCTCCCCTCTGCTGGGGCCGGCTCCGGAGGGAGGACGGCCCAGCTTTCCTCTGAGGGTCCCTTGTGAGCAGTGGGGTGGCTTCCCTCCAGGGCTGCAGGGGCAGATTCTTTCTCTGCTGCTTCTGGAAATTTCACGTTTGCACAAGGCAGGGGTGACATCCCCAAGAACTCCTCTGTAGGAAGGCAGAAGAGAAGCGAGAGATGTTTCAGCAAGCGCAGCAGCAGCTGACAGTGCAGCAGGGTTGGCTGCAGCTGGGCTGGGAGCTGAATTTGTGGGAGCGAGGAGGAGCCACCCCCCTCTCTAACCGAGACCCGCCAAGGTCTGCACGAGCCCTCCCGCAGATCCCCAACCATCTGACCCACCTTCATCCTCCTCCCAGCCTGGCTCCTCTTGGTGAATGCTCTGCTCCGCTCGCTGCTTCAGAGCCTCCCTCCGGGCTTCATCCTGCAGGGAATTCAGTGTCAGCAGCGACTCACGTCCCCAGTCCTTTCTTCCCCCAGGTATTTCAGCATCAGTGACAACAAGGACAGAGACAAGGCAGCCCAGATCCCTGTTTTTCCAGGAAAAGTATCTTCTGCCTCTTTGGTCTGCATTAGAGAGCTCCTTGGCCGGAGTGCCCACCCACTGGGGGAGACACCCCCCTCCTGACCTACCTGCTCCAGGCGATGCACTTTATAGAAGTAGCGCTGCCAGAATTCAGAATGGGAAACAGCCACCGGGACCTGGGAGCAAGATGGGAACCACCATGAGTCACTTCAAAGGGAGGACTGCGGCTGCTGCCTCGCCCCCCTCTCCTCCGGAGCCTTGCAGCTACCCTTATCACCTGCGCAAGGCACCTGCGTTTTCAGGTGCGCAGACTTGGGACCAAGCCTCAGGTACGCACTGGCAGATGCTCAGACACACATCAGACAGCTACAGAGGAACTTCTCTTCCGGGCCCATGACAAACAAGCAGGGAAGAAGAATACAATATGCTGCCTAATATCCCTGTGCCAGTTTACCGTGCAACCACAGTCCTTTCCACGACCAGCTCCAGGGCCCAAGCAACTCAGGGCTTCCCTGCACCGTACCCCAGGTCAGAACTTGCCCACTACAGGAGCCAGGCGGGGCCTTACCATTTTGGTGTAGAGAGACCGGATGGAAGGGCTGGTCGCCAGCAGCTCCGCGATCTCCCCTTTCTTCTCCTCTAGGTTAAACTGAGAGAGCCAGGCCTCAAGGAGGTCAGCAGGGCCTGTACGGGGCAAGCACAGAGGTAACAGTCCTTGGCACAAACAGGGCAGGAACAGTTTTGGGAAGTTTCATCGGAAAAATACTATGGAGCAGACCAGCTGGGGTGAGCAAGGGGCAAAGAAGGAGGGAGACGTGTGTCTCTGAGCCCACCCCATGTCGTGGGTCCTTTGTCAGCACAAGGCGACGTAGCGCCAGCTGTAGCAGCAGTTTAAACTGACGCGGCAAACTCTCAAGCCTAAGCTAGTTCCCAATGCAACAGACAGATCTGCTCTCCATAAACGGTGACCCCATCTACAGCCAAGCCAGCAGGCCCGCCGGCGAAAGGCTCTGGGCAATTCAGGACGGCCCACAGCCCCCACGCAAGGGCCAGCTTGGCTCGGCAGCACCGCCGAGCCCCCCCCCGTACCATCAGGTTCGTTGCAGTAGGTGGCCGGGTCCGACTGGAGGCTGTAGAGGCGAGCCTGGAGGAGAAGACGCACAGGGCAGAGCCGTCAGTGGAGGGGCAGCAGCAGAGCCCCGAGAGGACAGGGCTCGGGACTCCACGTCCCGGAGAGAAGCGCCGGGAACAGGGCACTCACCTTGGCGCTGTCATAGGGCTCTGTGGTACCTGTGGGTGTTGCCATCAGTGTTATGACATCGCAGTCAATGGTCTTATCCGGCGAGGGAGCAAACGTGTCCGAGATGACACCCAGGAAGTCAGAGAGCCCTTTCCTCACCTTTTCAGTCGCACCTGAGGAACCTTCTGTCCTCTTGAAGAGAAAAAGCAGCACAGCGTAAGTAACAGTACCTGCAGCAGCAGGACAAGGCTCAGTCTTTTCTGGACAGGTTCCTTTAAGGAAGCAGGATGTCTCTCGAGCCTTTAAGGAAGGTTAAAGGCTCAAGGTTCCTTTAAGGAAGCAGGATGTCTCTCCCTTCAAAGAAGTGCTCGTGAGGCGATTGTGTGGCCAGGGCTGGGCTAGGAGAAGGGCGTGGTGGCAGGCACTAGCCTCAGGTGGCGGTGGGGCAGGCAGGCCCTGTAATAGGTTTGTTGGGAACTGAGCCTAGGCTTTGCGGGGAAGGACACAGCCAGGTTCGGGGACTGGCTGGTTTGGGGGTTGGACTGTCACAGCGGCAGCTGCACAGGGCTAAGGCTGACAGCTTGTGCAGAGATCCGATGTCATACTGCAGTGACACTGCCAGGATCCCACCTACACGGCACACTGGGAGGGGAAGCACAGGGAACTTGTCTCCACTCGTCTCCAGAGGTTCCTCACCACTACAGCAAGGAAACGCCACACAGTGCTCAGCACCAAACCTGCACCGGGGAGAAAGTCTGAAACCTGAAGCTCGCGGTTATACGTTGGGCTTCGTTCAGAGGATCTTCTCCTCAGAGGCTATTCACCCCCCGCTTTGCTTTCTCCAACAGGAATCCCAACTCTCTTACTCCTATACTCACTGCCAGCTTGTCCTTGACCACACTGGCCGTAGCAGCGATAGTGCAGGCTGTGTCATGCTGCACTACTTGAGTGAACTCAGCCAGGTCCCGTTTCATGAATTCCAAAGCTTCTGTGGACTGTAAGAAGACGACAGATAGATTGTGTAATCTCTTTGCTCTCCAGCAAAGCCACGGTCACTCTGGGAACACCTGGCACGTTACAAAGATTAAAGTGCGAGAGCCTTTAACCCAGCTGAGCCCTTACCCCAACTCGTGCAATGGGTAAGACCGTAATAACCAGAATAGCAACGGGAAACAGCTATGCCCAAAACATGTTAGAGTGGGGGTTTTTCAAGCTAAGACAGGAAAAATACAGGTTAGGAAAAGCCTTGTTCTGAGCTTTGTGTATAATTAACATAAGCAATGCTGTCACAGGCAGGAAATTACACATCAGAAAGCGACGCTGCAAGCACAGGCCCTCCCTGCTCAGGCGGTGATCAACAGAGCCCAGCGCTGCTCCCCTGAGCCATAAGAGCCCAGCGCCAGCGGTCAGGTCCCCCGGCTGCCAGAGTTACCACAGACACATCCGAACTCCCTCTACGCGTACCCATCGGGCCCCTTCCCGGGGTCACGGGCTGCGCTACAGCCGCACGCCCTCGCTGGCTGTCAGGCAGTCACTAAGGCGAGGCTCAGGA